AGGGCTTGGGTTTCCCAGGTCGTCCGCAGAGTTTTTCAGTCTTCCAGCCTGCGGTCTGTCCTTGCGCCCGTGCTGTTCGGACGTTTGCAGTTTTTGCTGCTGTGTTGGTGACGCCTAGGGCTCATTTCGGGCGCAGGGATTTGAGGGTCGCACAGGTTCTTAGCCACCCATTCTTTATGCGCGTCTGCTCCTGTGCGTTCTTGTTGCCTTGGGTCGCAGGTTGCAGCCTGTTGTCTCGGCTTCGCGTTGTGGAGTCTGTGGTGGCCGCCTCCCGGGTTAGCCCTTTCTTTTCCATCTCTTTGGGTATGAAGCTCCAGGGAGCCGTAGGGGCTCCCCAAAGAAAACCAGCATTGAATGTAATAAAACGCCATTTTCTGGGTGAGCCCCGGAGGTTCCCTTACAAACCTCCCTCCCACCGGTCGGCGGTTTTTCGCGTTGGCTGAAGCTTAGCTTCCGAACTGAAGCTAGTCAGCCGGCGCGGTAGGTCTGGGGCGCCCCCTCCCCCTCTTAGGGCGGTGAGGGCTGCGAGGACGATCAGGGCGGCAGTAAAGTGTGATGTTTGCTTGCTTGCTTGTTTGCTTGGGATTGTAGGGAGTTTCAACCTTTCTGTTCGTTTTTTTGTTTTAGTTTTTTTATGATGTGGGGTTTGTTTTGTTATGCCTACCTTTCTGGGTGCCTAACCCTGGTCGATGGCAGATAAGGAAAACCCCAACCTCAAGGGGTTTTCCAGGGCTTTGCTACCTGAAACCTCTCTGAAGGGGCCAGGTTTTGGTGCTGGTCCCTGGTAGGTCTGAACTCCTTTGCTAATGTCCCGGTCTAATATAACATACATTAGCTTGATAAGCTCCAGGGAGCCTCCGGGGCTCACCAAGAAAATGGCATTTCATTACATTCAGCGCTGGTTTTTTCAGTTTTTTTTTTTTTTGCAGTAATATTATTCAATGGTGTGTAGTGTGATATACAGTGGTACCTCGCATAACGAATTTAATCCGTTCCATGTTCGTCATGTGAAACGGACGTCATACAAAACGAGTGTCCCCCATGTAACCAGTGTGATGCACTGTGTTTATTGTGAAATTTCCCCAGTGTGCATGACATCAAATGTTCCCCAAAATATAATTTTTCTTTGTAAAATGATAAATTACCGTCCCTGAACATGTCTATGTAAAAATAATTACCAAATTCCACTTACTTTGGCTGTGAGGACGTGGACAAGGTGCGCTGTGACGTCATCAGGGGCTGGTCGCCCGTGTGTGATGCTCCCAGACACGGTCGCGCAAGCCATTCAAGCACCGCGTGTTGCCACAAATATATTTTCAAATATTTTTTCTATGCATTTCCAATGCCGTTTTATTTGTTTCTTTTATCGTATATGATGCATATTTGTGACCTTTACAATATGTATACAGTAGAATGTTCATAATTTTCCATGAAACTGTGATACATGTGTCAGTAATGTGTCCACAATAAATGTTTATTGTCAATATTACGTGGTAAAAATTCACTAAAATTACAATATGTACAGTTTCACATACTATTTACACAGTAACACACTGTATTACACACTCTGTACTTTAAAGGTGCATAATAGTCAACAAAGTAGTCCATGGTACACAGCGCGACTTTGCTCTCCTTGCACCAGCTACAGATAGATTTTCGTTTCCTGTTTCATCGTTCTGTGTGCTTGCAAATAGCGCACTCGCGTGCACCCTTGGCTTTAGTACTTGTAGGTGGTATGTAGCCAAGCTTGTAAAGCATAAAGTAGTATTGAAACGATTATAGGAAAAGCTCAATTTGTAAGGTAGTCTTGAAAAGACCGCTTTGTAAGGTCCCACACAGGAAGAGATTCAGCTAGCCTCAAAGAGCTTCCATCAGTCAGGAAGAGATTCAGCTAGCCTCAAAGAGTGTCCATCAGTCAGGAAGAGATTCAGGTATTCTTGAAAATATCAATGAACACCACCACCATTGAAGCCGCTAACACTGTTCATCTATGCTACTTGTATCAGATGCATCATCACTGAATGCAGAAAACGATTCATCTATGTATCATCTATATACATTAGAGATGGCAAGGGTGGGGCTCAGAGCTACACCTGGATACGCTCGCTGTATCATCCTCATAGGTGCTGTATCACTGCCATCCGACCGTTGTGTTAAACCCTTATTGCGCCTAGCTTCACTAATGTTATGACCCTTATGTTCTTCAAACAATAGGGTCTGAATTGCACCGACTGAGCACAGTCTTTCAACACCGTGTGGGACAGGTGTTTGAGAGCCAGAGGCACGTGTGCCACAAATGGTTGCTCACGCACTACTAACCCACCCAGCAGCCCTTGTCTTTCATATTCGTTATAGCAAAAAGTTCGTTCAGTGTTTGTTGGGTAGGCTGCTCCATTATGACAATCTTTCTTTGTTTCAAATGCGTTCCATTTGTTTTGTATTTGTCACTTACGTCTCAATAATGGAGCAGCCTACCCGACAAACACTGAACAAACCTTTATGACATTTGTCCATTTTTCAAATTGTTTCAATAGTTCTTTTATTTTTTTTTTTTTTTTTTTTTTTTTTTTTTTTTTTTTTTTTAGAAACATGGAGCAGCCGACCTGTAGACCACCGAACGAAACTTTTTGACATTTGTACTGGTTTTCAAAATTCTTCATTTTTTTTATTATTTACGTTTTTTGTATGTAAGAAACATGGAGCAGCCTACCTGCCGACCACCGAACGAACCTTTTGCTATAAGACAAATGAAAAATAAATATTGAACACATTTGAAGAAAGGAAAATGTCATAATGGTTTATTCAGTGTATGTAAGGTAGGCTTCTCCATTATTGAGACGTAAATGACAAAACAAAAACAAATGGAACACATTTGAAACAAAGAAAGATTGTTATAATGGAGCAGCCTACCTGCCGAACACTGAAGGAACCTTTTTGACATTTGTTGTATATCAGACATTTCATTTCTTTTTTCCTACAAAAACGTCAATGCTTTGCAACATCTCAGCAGGGACCCTTTTATATCCCAGCATCATTAGCATCTTTAAACAAGAACAACATAATTTATGTGCATCGTCGGAGGCGTCTAAGAATGTGCAAGAAGCAGCGCGACCCCACCATGTGGTGTTGACGTTACTCAAACCAGCGTTCGTCATACGGGGCGATTTGACGCCGATCGGGCCGTTCGTTACCCAAAATATTCATTTTTTGGGGCAATCGTTATGCGAGGTACCACTGTATTTATATAATAAATTGTGTGAACTTTTGCTATACACAAGAATATGGTGAGCATATTAATAATTCAATTATTATGTTCATAAAACAAAACAAATTTTTTTTGCTGTTATACACTATATAAACACGGTATATATAAGTATCTGCATGTTTTGTTTATCATAACAAACCACTAAGCTGGTATGGTGCTTCAAAACAACATTCTGGCCACCAACACAACAGCCAGCAGCTGACACTACCCCACTCGCCAATATTTCTCCAACCACCATATTGTTTGTGCTGTTATTACACTATATATACACATTATATATAAGTACATATTTTTTTCACCATAACTGTACAACTAAGCTGGTATGGTGTCCAAACAGCATAGTGGCCACCATACACTGCGTGACAAATCACACAGCTGCTAGCATACGACGGTACCTCACTCATCAAAATGGCTCCTCCCACAATACTGTTTGTGCTGTTATTACACTCTATGCACACATTATATATAAGTATCTACATTTGTGTTCACTATAATGAACCACTAATCTAGTATGGTGAGTCCAGACAATGACATTGGCCACCACACAGAGTCAGATGAAGACTCCACCTTTCTCACCCTTCATCAAGATAACTCCTCCCACCATACTACGCACATTGCTAATTCTCACCACAATGCTGCTACTATCAAAATCCTGGTCACTAAATCCTGTAAATGAATAATTTTCCACAAGTTTATTTTGTAAAGGAACATGAGAAGTCATTACAAGATTCTTAGATGGACCAAACAATAGCAGTAGTGTGCTGTGGCTTGCACTGTGAACATCTTGAACAGCATTGTGTTCACTGATATCTGGTTTGCATGGCAGTATGGTTTAAGGCGTTGAGCTTTGCCTCAAGATGATGCTTGGGCTAATATTTAATTTGCTTCTAGGGTGGAAAGGGAGGGCTTAAAATTGGTAAGGGTTAATCTCCCACGGTGCAAGAAAGTGCCATTGTTGTCTCACTTGGTATAAATTATTAATCTGATACATTCTGAGTTCAGTTCCAGTTTTAGTTATCCATTCTATACAATGTTGACCTTCAGTAAAGAAATTCTGGAGACTTATGTGCAAGGGTTAGGATGAACTAGCCTAAGCATTTTTATATAAATTTGACAGTTAATTCCAGTAACACAATCAGTAATCTTTTCTATTTGTTTTTAAAACCCAGCAGAGTCTTGGCATTTACGGCTTCTGCGGGAAGGCAGTTCCATGGGTATACAACCCTATGGGTGAAAAAGCATCTCCTGTTTTCTGTCCTACATTGTAGCTTGTTGAGTTTGAATGTGTTACACCTTGTTCGTGTTACATCTGATCTTTTCAAGAAAGTGTCAGGATCTATATCGTCCAAATTGTTTAGTATTTTGGAGGATTCTATGAGATCTGCCCTGTCATGTCCAGTTTGCAGTGTTGGATAAAATTAACACATGAGTGTTAAGCCTAAGCAGTGCACTAACATTATCATTCACTTCTTTGTTCAAGAAATAATACATTGCAGAATATACTGTGTACGTTAGTTAAGTGGTTGTCTAAATGACCAGTTACTGTCAGTTAGTCTGGTGCTGCCTACAAAAAAACATATGCAATGTTTATATGAATAAACATATAATTTTTTAAATTATATGAATTTTTAATTTTTTAAACCAATTTGTCCTAAATAATATGGGTTCTGTAATGTGATTTTGTTTAATGATAGGAGAAAATTTGTAATTTTAGCCTATTGATTCTTTCATGCAGGTTGTAGGTGTGATGAGTGTGGAACTCGCAACTGTCAACACTTTTCCGGTGTATGTGAATGCTATGGTAATGTCATCGGAGACCAGTGCGAGCAATGTGCACCCGACCACTGGGGATTTGCTTCATGTCAGGTATGGCTTATTTACATTTCAAAGTTTTGTAATGAGGCAGTTTTGCTTTGTTCATTTGGGTTTGGTATCTAACGTTAGTTTATATAACGTTATATATTTTTCTAATTCATTTTGTCATGAAATGATAAAGCTTTATATTACATATAAAGGACACTCGCCTGGCGTTCCGCGAGCGCTATGTCATGGGTTCGTATCCTGGCCGGGGAGGATTTACTGGGCGCAATTCCTTAACTGTAGCCTCTGTTTAACGCAACAGTAAAATGTGTACTTGGATGAAAAAACGATTCTTCGCGGCAGGGGATCGTATTCCAGGGACCATAGGATTAAGGACTTGCCCGAAACGCTACGCGTACTAGTGGCTGTACAAGAATGTAACAACTCTTGTATATATCTAAAAAAAAAAAAAAAAAAAAAAAAAAAAAAAAAAAAAAAAAAAATATACCGTATATGATTTCATTTTTTCTAATTTGAGTTAAAACTAACGTACAAATATGACTAGACCTAACATAACCTACCTTACCTTACCTAACCTAACCTATCCTAACCTAAAGTAACATAACTAAGTCAGTAATTCATGTTTTTACTATAATATAATAATATTAATTCAAATAAACCAAATGAAAATTATTTGAAAATAATGAAAATCGATCAGCTCATTAGGCAAATCGGGCCTTACATTGGCCAAGTAGTGCGTTTTGGCTATTAGGTATAACATATATATATACACAGACAAGGAGTCACAATAACAATATACACAATATATATATATATATATATATATATATATATATATATATATATATATATATATATATATATATATATATATATATATATATATATATATACAGAGCACCACTTGGTTTCCGAACTTTAGTTATCCGAAACTTCCAGTTTCCCGATTGGGGTTGGGAAGTCATGCTACCCGAACAAAGTTCGGGTAGGAAGGGGTCCGCCAAGTGTCACGCCGGCTTGTTGTGGTGGGTAGGAGATGGTCCAGTTTGCCCGCTGTGACTTCACAGATTCACGGCCTATTATTCCTATTATTTTGAATTGCCATAAGGCTGGAATGTTCATTCTGTGCTTTTGTTTTACATATCTGCACAATCAAGAAACATCTGTGCACCATGTTGGCTCCAAATGCACGCATTGCGTCAGTGATGGCTAACTGGTGGGTGGATGGACGATGGAGCTTAGGTGGGAGGCAGTATGAATGAGGGGGGGGGGGAGAATCAGTGAGAGAGGGGGAGAGAGAGATGCTAGGAGGGAGGGGGAGGTAGAGAGAGATGTTAGGAGGTAGGGAGAGATGCTAAGAGGGAAGGGGAGGTAGGGAGAGATGCTAGGAGGTAGGCAGGAAGGGATGGAAGTAGTGAGAATTAGGGAGGGAAAGGCAGGCTGGCAGGCACAGGCAGGCAGGCACAGGCAGGCAGGCAGGCAGGGAGTGAGTGGTAGTCACGCGGTTGAACCGCGTGACCTTGAGAGATGGGATGTAGGAGGGCGGGTGGTTTGTTGGTGGTGGGGGTGAGACCGGCTCATTCCCGAAGATAAGCCTAACACACACTACCCGTTAGCATGATGGCAGGGAGGGAGGCAGGCTGGCTGGAAAGGAAGGAGGCAGGCAGGCTGGGAAGGAGGCAGGCTGGGAAGGAGGCAGGCAGGCAGGCAGGCTTGCAGGCTGGGAAGGAGGCAGGCAGGTTTGCAGGCTGGGAAGGAGGCAGGCAGGCAGGCAGGCTTGCAGGCTGGGAAGGAGGCAGGCAGGCAGGCAGGCTTGCAGGCTGGGAAGGAGGCAGGCAGGCAGGCAGGCTTGCAGGCTGGGAAGGAGGCAGGCAGGCAGGCAGGCTTGCAGGCTGGGAAGGAGGCAGGCAGGCAGGCAGGCTTGCAGGCTGGGAAGGAGGCAGGCAGGCTTGCAGGCTGGGAAGGAGGCAGGCAGGCTTGCAGGCTGGGAAGGAGGCAGGCAGGCAGGCAGGCTTGCAGGCTGGGAAGGAGGCAGGCAGGCTTGCAGGCTGGGAAGGAGGCAGGCAGGCAGGCAGGCTTGCAGGCTGGGAAGGAGGCAGGCAGGCAGGCAGGCTTGCAGGCTGGGAAGGAGGCAGGCAGGCAGGCAGGCTTGCAGGCTGGGAAGGAGGCAGGCAGGCAGGCAGGCTTGCAGGCTGGGAAGGAGGCAGGCAGGCAGGCAGGCTTGCAGGCTGGGAAGGAGGCAGGCAGGCTTGCAGGCTGGGAAGGAGGCAGGCAGGCAGGCAGGCTTGCAGGCTGGGAAGGAGGCAGGCAGGCAGGCAGGCTTGCAGGCTGGGAAGGAGGCAGGCAGGCAGGCAGGCTTGCAGGCTGGGAAGGAGGCAGGCAGGCAGGAAGCGATATATGGGTGTTGAAGTGAACCATGAACCACGTGACCTTTGAGAGTGTGTGTGTATGGGTTTGGGGTGGGGGGAGAGGGGGAGGTGTGTCGGTGGTGGGGGAGGGACCGGCTGACTCCGTAAGCCTAACCACACTCCACAGACCTGTGACCCAGATTTGTTTCTTAAATGTACAGTACATCATCGTATATTTTAGGCAGGATGTGCCTGCAGGCTGGCAGGATGTGCCTGCAGGCTGGCAGGATGTGCCTGCAGGCTGGCAGGATGTGCCTGCAGGCTGGCAGGATGTGCCTACGGGCTGGCAGGATGTGCCTGCAGGCTGGCAGGCAAGCTGGCAGGCAGGCTGGCAGGCAAGCTGGCAGGCAGGCTGGCAGGCAGGCTGGCAGGCAAGCTGGCAGGCAGGCTGGCAGGATGTGCCTGCAGGCTGGCAGACAAGCTGGCAGGCAGGCTGGCAGGATGTTCCTGCAAGCTGGCAGGCAGGCTGGCAGGATGTTCCTGCAGGCTGGCAGGCAGGATGTTCCTGCAGGCTGGCAGGATGTTCCTGCAGGCTGGCAGGCAGGCTGGCAGGAAACATCCAGAGGATGTTTGCCAGACGTCTTAATAATCAGTTAGGAACAATTAAGGACTTTTATAAAGCGGATCAGGACTTCACTTATTGGTGAGTACAAACAAAACACGTCGCATTTACGCTATGAACCTGTCGATTTTTTCCCCTAGAGTTTTTTTCGTAAAAATTTTCGGAACAATTTCTTTTTACATTTCTAGTTTATTTTTTCCCCTCTATTTCTCGTATACGAACTTACATGTTAACCGACGGGTCTCGTCCCCAAGGGGTTCGGAAACCAAGTGGTGCTCTGTATATATATATATATATATATATATATATATATATATATATATATATATATATATATATATTTATAGGTTTCTGTGGTGGTGGAAGCGAGTATATATACAGTGGTACCTCGCATAACGAATTTAATCCGTTCCATGTTCGTCATGTGAAACGGACGTCATACAAAACGAGTGTCCCCCATGTAACCAGTGTGATGCACTGTGTTTATTGTGAAATTCCCCCAGTGTGCATGACATCAAACGTTCTTCAAAATATAATTTTTCTTTGCAAAATGATAAATTATCATACCTGTACCTGAACATGTCTATGAAAAAATAATTACCAAATTCCACTTACTTTGGCTGTGAGGGCGTGGACAAGGTGCGTTGTGACGTCATCAGGAGCTGGTCGCCCGTGTGTGAAGCTCCCAGACACGGTCGCGCAGGCCATTCAAGCAACGCGTGTTGCCACAAATATATTTTCAAATATTTTTTCTATGCATTTCCAATGCGGTTTTATTTGTTTCTTTTATCGTATATGATGCATATTTGTGACCTTTACAATATGTATACAGTACAATGTTCATAATTTTCCATGGAACTGTGATACATGTCAGTAATGTGTCCACAATAAATGTTTATTGTCACAATATTATGTGGTAAAAAATCACTAAAATTACAATATTTACAGTTTCACACACTATTTACACAGTAACACACTGTATTACACACTCAGTACTTTGGAGGTGCGTAATAGTCAACGAAGTAGTCTATGGTACATAGCGCGACTTTGCTCTCCTTGCACCATCTACAGATAGATTTTCGTTTCCTGTTTCATCGTTCTATGTGCTTGCAAATAACGCACTCGCGTGCATTCTTGGCTTTAGTACTTGTAGGTGGTATGTAGCCAAGCTTGTAAAGCATAAAGTAGTATTGAAACGATTATAGGAAAAGCTCAATTTGTAAGGTAGTCTTGAAAAGATCGCTTTGTAAGGTCCCACACAGGAAGAGATTCAGCTAGCCTCAAAGAGTGTCCATCATTCAGGAAGAGATTCAGCTAGCCTCAAAGAGTGTCCATCAGTTAGGAAGAGATTCAGCTAGCCTCAAAGAGTGTCCATCAGTCAGGAAGAGATTCAGGTATTCTTGAAAATATCAATGAACACCACCACCATGGAAGCCGCTAACATTGTTCATCTATGCTACTTGTATCAGATGCATCATCACTGAACGCAGAAAACGATTCATCTATATATCTATATACATTAGAGATGGCAAGGGTGGGGCTCAGAGCTACACCTGGATACGCTCGCTGTATCATCCTCATAGGTGCTGTATCACTGGCATCTGACCATTGTGTTAAGCCCTTATTGCGCCTAGCTTCATCAATGTTATGACCCTTATGTTCTTCAAACAATAGGGTCTGAATTGCACCGACTGGGCACAGTCTTTCAACACCGTGTGGGACAGGTGTTTGAGAGCCAGAGGCACGTGTGCCACGAATGGTTGCTCACGCAGTACTAACCCAGCCAGCAGCCCTTGTCTTTCATATTCGTTATATCAAAAGGTTCGTTCAGTGTTTGTTGGGTAGGCTGCTCCATGATGGCAATCTTTCTTTGTGTCAAATTTGTTCTATTTGTTTTGTATTTGTCACTTACGTCTCAATAATAGAGCAGCCTACCCGACAAACACTGAACGAACCTTTATGACATTTGTCCATTTTTCAAATTGTTTCAACAGTTCTTTTTTTTTTTTTTTTTTAAGAAACATGGAGCAGCCGACCTGTAGACCACCGAACGAACCTTTTTGACATTTGTACTG